GCAAGGCGAGGCGAGGCAAGGCGAGGCGAGGCAAGGCGAGGCGAGGCAAGGCGAGGCGAAGCTGTCTTGCGCAGGTCATGAGCTCTTAAGAGCTACGACCCGCACCATCCTCTAGAGTCAAAAGTCATGCAAGCAGTCGTCTTTTCATGGGTACCAGTCGCCCAGCATCTCATTCAGCACTTCAGTGTCCAAAACACCTCCGTGCACACATCAGCACAAAGCAGTGCGCCTTGTTCCCTGAGTCCCATCGCTCAATGTCGGTCACTCTTTGCCCCATCCTCTGTGCAGATTTCCTCCAGGGTATACCGGCTGGTCTCGCTTTCGGCACTATGCCATTCCTGCTCAAGGCACGGCTAAGCTACTCAGACGTTGGCATATTCATGCTGTGCACCTATCCGTATTCTTTGAAGTTTTTCTGGTGTCCCATAGTGGACAGCTGGTTCGTTCGATCCCTGTGAGCCCGGAGATGTGGACGCCAGGAGCAGCAGCTGCCAACATCGAGGAAAGCACGCTGATGAGACAGCTTTTTCTGCGCTCCTTGATCTCTTCTGGCGCCTCTCAGACGAACACCCCTGGGAACGTTGTCCCTCGGAAGGCGAAAAAGCTGGATCGTACCCATTCAGCTGATCGTAGGCGTCATGCTTTGGCTTTTGGCAGATAATATGGATGGGCTCATGAATGCGGTGAGTTGATGCTCTGCTCGCATCGCGTACACGCCCCTTGACGATTTCCGTCTTCCGTGAACAGTCTCGGCCTAATGTCTGGCTCATCACTGGCCTCTTCTTTGCGCTCGTCTTCTTCGTCGCAACGCAAGGTGTGTAGTCGAAACTCCTTCCTGGGCGCGTGCGAGCGATGCGTAATTAACACGATCGCTTTTCAATATCGTGATGCAGACATTGCTGTTGACGGTTGGGCATTGACATTGCTCTCGGAGGAAAATTTGAGCTACGCCAGCACTGCTCAAACTGTAGGGTTGAATACAGGCTACTTTCTCAGCTTTACTGTGTTCTTGGCATTCAATAGTATCGAGTTCAGGTGAGTGACCGCGCACAATCAGGTGTCTTGTGACTTCTTGTGACGCCTTCACTGGAGGCTAGTCGTGCGTCTCACCTGCAGGTGTTCTTTGTACTTTCTCTTCCCTCAGCAACAAGTACTTCAGAGCGACGCCCCTTGAATATCCTTTGCTCTCGCTTCACGCATACCTCAAGGCGTCCAGCGTTGCCTTTCTTGTTGTCACCACCTGGCTGCTTTTGTTCTACAAGGAAGATCCAGAAAATCGGGATGTAGCAGAGATGGACACGATGGACGTATATTCTCAAATTTCCAAGATCTGCAAATTGAAACGTGAGTGGAGATCTGAGCTCGGACGACATCTGCTCACACGCTCACGCGCGGATGTACAGACGTACAACTCTTCTTGGTCTTGCACATGGTTTCCAAGATCGGATTCCAAGCCAACGATGCTGTGACGCAGCTTAAGCTAGTGGAGAAAGGTTTGGGAAAAGAAGACTTGGCCCTTGCCGTGCTTATCGACTTTCCCTTCCAAATGATCCTTGGCTACCTGGCTGCCAAGTGGAGCAAAGGTTCTCAACCACTGAAACCGTGGATATGGGGATACGTTGCTCGTATCATGTATGCGGTGGTAGCCATTGGACTGGTAGTAGGGGTCCCACCTTCGCCCATCGGCCTGCCATACTTTATCCTTATCCTCACTTCCACCGTGCTCGGATCTTTCGCCAATACGGTTCAATTCGTGGGCATATCGGCTTACCACACCCAGATCGCTGATCCACTGATTGGTGGGACCTACATGACCCTCTTCAACACCTTTTCCAACCTGGGAGGAACGTGGCCCAAGTACTTTGTCCTCAAGGCCGTCGATTGGTTCACTGTTTCGCACTGCGCTTCGCCAGGCGTGGCTGGAAAGATCGAAGATTTGGCTCAGGCGGCTAGCAAGCTATTAGGAAGCGCGTCGAGCGGCTTACTGGAAGAATGCACGTCGGACGAGGGTAAGGCAAAGTGCCTGGCTGGAGGAGGAGAGTGCGTGATCGAGAGGGACGGATATTACATCACTTCTGCACTGTGCATATGCGCTGGAGCGGCCCTCTTTTTCCTCTTCATTCTGCCCACTGCTAGAAAGCTGGAAGCTCTTCCAGCTTCGGCTTGGAGGGTCACGAGCGGCAAAACGGCCAAGGCAGCTTGAAAGGCCGTCTACCAATCCGTCGCTGCCCTTTGGCTTCCAATAAGCCAGTTTTGCATATCCATCATTTATCCATCCGCTTGAAGCAGACCTCGTGCGACACATATGGGTAAAACAGCGTCACCATTCGCAATTCTGCAATTTGAATGACATTCATGAATTCGCGGCAGAGAGCTGCATGCGATGATGGACGAGAGATACGATGGGCGAAGAGGAGCATAAGTAGCTTTGACATGTCGCTCCTCGCTCGCCAGCTTTGTCTGCATCCATCAAGCATGTGGTATATAAATCGATGATTTGCAGATCGAAGCGTGGCCGCGCGAATATCAAGTTTGAACGGAAGTCCGCGGATGTGCTGACGTCTTTGCTATTACCGGTATAATATATGCATGGCGCTATCCCGACCCCTGACGTGCTGCTGAGCTCACAAGCCGAAAGTGACTAGTGAGGATCAAAGTCTGTGGTGCATGCTCTCTCTCTTGTGCCTAAGCTGATCTGTCCGAGGAGAAATGGCAGGTGGGGCCAGCTTGCATCTTCCAGCCCTTGCTGGGCTTCGCGGATTCAGTCACCATCAGCGCTCCCTTTCTCTCTCTCTCCCCCTTCGTCTCTCACGCGTCACGGCGCATGCGCACTGCTCGGCATGCTTACGTACCGCTGCTGCACCTTGCGTGCATCCGACATTAGAAAAGCTTGAGCGAAGCGGCGGAGGGAGGTATGCAGGGTCCAGCAGGAAGAATGCCACGCTAGAGGTTGCCGAAGGCTTGGAGTTGGGTTGGGCAAGGCAAGGCAAGGCGAGGCGTAAAAGCCTAAACTTGCACCACCAACCAACGCCATCTCTTCCAGCTCCAAGGCGGTCAAGCACGAACCTGAAGCAAAGAGTTCGAGTTGAGGCGCACATTTTGTCGGGCTCTCACTAGACGCCGTGAAAGTGGGCTGCGAAGGCCGATCATGTCTCGGCTTAGACCGCCTCAAGGCGTACTGACGTGCTTGTGCCTCGTCGCTCTCTCACTCTGCCTGGCTCCCTTGACCATCGCGCAGTGCGTCTTTTTCTACCTCCGAATGCAGCATCGATGCAGCAGCGATGCTGCGCAAGCTAGACGATCTGCTGGTCGCAATGGCAGACAAGATGCGTCGCTAGGACCCATCGCGCTGGTGAATGGTGGAAAGATGCAAAAGGCGCTGTACGTCGTTCGTGCGCTTCATAGGCAAGGATATCGAGTGGTCTTGGTCGAAGAGCGTGGATGGGGGTGAGTGGCGGTGGGTTGTCATGATGCGCACGCCTTTCGCCGCTCCGAGTATGCACTCATCATGCCCGAGCCTGCCATGTGAATGCCCATCACATCGTCAGGGAGCTTTGCGCTACTCGATTCTCAAACAGCGTGCATCGTTTCGAACTGGTGCCGGGCGGAGGGGGCCAAGCGTACATTGACGCTCTGGTGGATCTGGCCATTGGATTGAACGCAAAGTTGTTCATCCCATGTAGCGGCGCTGGCACCACGATCGAAGATGCCAAGGCTGCCGAGCTGATGAGGGCTAGGGCCAAGATTCGAACGTTGATTCAGGATGCCGATTTGGCCGAGGCTCTGCACGAAATGGTGAGCTGGTCAGCAAGTGCGATGCACGCTGGCTTGCTTTTCTCCCAGTGCGCTGACCAGCTGCGGTGTGCCGCCTTCGCAAGGATCGATTTGTCGATCTGGTGCACGAGCTAGGCCTTCAAGCTCCCACTTCCACCATGCTGCACACCCCAGACGAAGCTCTTGCTCATCTGCGCGCACAAGACGCTTCACGAGGCGGCGTCTTGCTCAAGGCTGCCACCGTTCTCGACGATGTGGGTCGGTCCGACATGACGACTTACCCGCTTCAAGATCGCGACGGAAAAGTTGACTGGGAAGCTACGGAAAGGAGGATCAAGTCGGGATTGAGCATACCCCTTTCAAAGAACACGCCATATGTTGCGCAGGAATTCATCGGCGGGGAAAATGCTTCTGAATGGTGCACGCATGCCACGGTGTGGAATGGCATCATTACCGCCTTTGTCTGCTGCCCTAGCGTGAGCCTTGCATCGCGTACGAGAGAGTAGTTACATTCGTAGATTGACATGGCCGCCTTCAATATCCGATATCCACAGAACGACCTCTTGATGACGTACCACGACGCGACGCAAGCTCGAATCGGTCAACTAGCACTTCAATGGACGCGCGATTTTCTAGCGCGTCTCTCATCACATCCAAAATGGTCTTTCACCAGACTGACCGGTCAATTCTCCATGGACTTCATCTATCAGCCCGCCAGGCAGAGATTAGTGGTGATCGAGTGCAATCCGCGCGTACATACCGCCATCTGCTTGCTGAGGGAACGAACGGAGCTGGGTGGAGCTCTGGATGGGGCTCAAGATGAGCTTATAGTGCCTAATGAAGGGACTCGGACGGTCTCGTGGGTCGGTCACGACATCTTTGCCAGGCTCCTACCTAGCGTACTTTCCCGCAGTATAGTCGAACATCTCTACGGCTCAGCGGGTCTGCAGTCCTCCGCACCGACGAGGTTTGTGCCGTCCAACAAGGACCAAAGGGGACACGCGGATCGCTTCTACGACTTGGAGCAGGTGGGACTGGACGGAGCATGGGACGAAGAGGACCCTTTGACCTATTTTGCCCTGTACCATATCCAATGGCCAGCGCTTCTACTTCGACAGGCGCTCTTGCGGCGCAAAGCCTTTTCTCGCATCAATGTCAGCACGGCCAGGATATTCGAATGTTAAGCTGCCGCGCGCGCTCGCATCCGCGGAATATCAGGCAGGGTTGATGGTGGTGCGTCTGCATTGATCTCGCTTTTGGCTCGAACTCGAAGCAGGTCACCAGCCGGCCCACACCCTGCGCTTCTCCTCGATGCATCTCTCCAGCTCGGTTCTTGGACCGCTGTCTAGCAGAGGCACCCTTTCGCTGGGCTTTATCCTCACGCTCTGAAATATAGGTTTGGCTCGGTTCAAGAGGCAAAAGATCCTCAAGGATCTCATGGCGTGGTAAGGTTCCGCAACAACGGTCAAGCTTTCCAACAACTTCTTCTCCTGTACTTTGCTGTTCTTCCATGTTGGCGATGATGTCGAATGCCGATCGATCCTCGCACTGCGATGCTCCTCGGCAAATCCTTCCATTTCGGACAGGAGGATCCAAACAAAAGCTGCGTTGTCCAACGTCGTCCTCGCATTTCTTTCGCACACGACTTTTTCTTTCGGCACTCCTGCGCGGAACAACTCTTGAGCTATGCTGAGCGCTTCGCCGTGCGCATTGGCCACGGCTGATCCGGTCGGGATCAGCGTGCTGCATGGGTGCGCCCGCGAGAGGGCGATGCTGCGATCTATGCGAGAGCGGAGTGAAGCACCGATCGATCCGTCCGGATTGACCGGTACGCCCAAGATCACAATGTACTCTGAGCCGGAGCTGGACTTTGAGCTGGAGCATGACTGGGACAAGCTTGACACTTCCTGCACTTCGCTTCGAGCTTGCAGAGCTTCGAAAGCTAGGGGAACACCCTCTGACACTCCTCTTTCCCACAAAAGCTGGCGCAACTCCCACTGCGCTACAGATCTCTTCCGTGCAGCTTCCTCCCCATCGGCGCTGCGAGCGCTGCTTTGCATTTGATTTCGTTGCTGTGGAGTGCGATGTGGGAGTAGCTAGGGTGCAGTGCAAACCTTTGGGTCCGGCGCAAGGAGAGGATGCAGCTCTGATCCC